GACTATGGACAAGATATGCTATAAAGATTTCTAGATAGAAGTGGAATTTTAATCCTAAAATAAACCTAGACTCTATAAAGAGACTGATTGGACAAACAAACCTAATTTTTTTGTTATAATGACTCTCATCAAATGCTAATGACTTTCCATCATCTCGGGTGCATTGATATCCTTAAACTATTAACCATCAGACAGTAAGAGTTCTCTAGTATTAGCATAGTAATAATGAATGTAGACATTCTTACTATTAGGTGAATCGAGGTATCTTTGTCAGTAACCATGATTTGCTTCATTTTAGGGCACCTATATAGTCTAAGAGGGTAAAGTTATATGTTTTATAGATCTTAGTCCTTAGCACTAACTAGGGGTACCTAAGAAAGTAACCTAAGATTCTAGCTTGGACTATTAAAGAGAATGTGTGATCCTGCGCTATGTTTCTATGTTGACTAACCTAGAGTTTACAATTGATCAGCCTAGTGGTGGTTTTCGTTATTTTAGTTGGTTACTTTTAGAGTTACTTTTGGGGTTTAATATATAATTCATGATTTAGTTCAACTCCTAAGTTGCTGGTCAACTTGAAAATCAGGGTATTTTAGGTTCAAAATCTTGCATTTAGTTTTCTGCCCGAAGTTGTTTTTCTTTAATGGTTCCGCTCCTAGGTTTGATTTCTAATGTTTAGTTTACTGTTTTACGTTGAAGCTTACATGACTAGAGGGTCTTATATATGTCATTTAAGCCTTTCATACTTACACTTTTCACACTTAAGTTTCATGCACATACTTAATTTTGTTCAAGGTTATACTTTCACACATATGAAAGAGTAATTTTGTAAAATATTGTTGTCACACAATGATATTATTAAGCATGTGAATGATCCAATATGAGAACTATTTAAGTGTGAAATTGTCAAGACTTGTATGTTTAGAATTTAAGCTCATAAATCACATGTTCTTAAATGGAAACATGCAAGAGTCTTATATAAGTTAGCTATTTAAGTAGATTTTTACAAATTTATATAATTTTATATGGAAATCTATCTAGCTTATGAAATGTTTTTGAAGAAGAGAGGGCGAACTTTTAAAAAGTTTACTTAGTTTTGAAGAGAGTTTTGTTATTAGTTTTAGTTTATTTTAAAAAGGTTTACATAGGCTTTGAAAAAATATCATTTAGGTTTTATTTTGGAAAATGTTTTGTTTTAGTTTTATTTAAAAAAATGTTTAAGTTTTTTATTGAAAAAAATTAATCTTTTTATTTTTGTTTTAAAAATCTTAATTTAAGTTTTGCTTTGAAAAAGTTCTACTATTTTATTTAAATTGTTTAAGTAAAAGACTTAAAAAAGGTTTTAAATTTTATTTTAAAAAGTTTTATTTATTTATTTTTGATAGGTTTATACTTAAGTTTTGTCTTGAAAATATTTCATTTAGGTTTTATTTTGAAAAGGATTAGGATATTTTTTTAGAAAGGGTTTCATTTTATTTTGTTATGAAGAGAATAATATTTATTTGTAGGTTTTTGTAAGAGGTTTGTTTGAATTAGGTTGCAAAGTTTGCCCATGTTTTTTTACTTTTGATATATTATAAATACTTAAGAAAATAATCTAAATACATTATTGCCTCAAAGTTCAGTATGTCCACTTTTACCCCTGAGTCTCAATATCTTCCAATTGATGTCTCATATGTGTGACTTCCAACAAGCATTTTATCTCTGTATCTGCCACTAGACACCTCATCTCTTGGCCTCCTCTAATATTGTATCTTAAAGTGCTCTGGTCGATCATTCCCTCCATTGAAATCATCCCTACGAAAGGGATTAAGATGATATTCTTGCCCTTCTCCATGGATTTGTTATTACAGTCGACAATGACCCTGCTCTGGGTCTTTTTCTCAATGACATCAAGCCGTTGTAGCACTTAACAAAGTAATTATTATATGTCATTCATGGAAATTCTTGATCACATTTTGACGATTGCCTCCTTAGCGATGTGGTTGGGGTTTGAGTTTGAGTAAGTGGAAAAGAAGTGTATAAATATGATGCTGGGTAGAAAAAAAAAATTTGGGCGGTGGGTTTGAAAATTTAGCATAAGGAAGGAGGTTTGTATGGAGGTGAAGTTTGATATTGCTAGATGCTAGAAACGCTAAGATAGGGTTAGGGTTAAGCTAGCTTTGATACAAATGATGTCAGATATAAGCCAAACCACAATAGTAAAAGTATATATTATTACCGAGAGCAAATAGACACTTGCAACTGACACACTTGAATGCGAAAATACAGCTAGACATCCAAAAATTTGAAATAACAACACACGACAAAGACATTCAAGCTAGTGTAGATCTCAAGTGGTGGTGGTGACAGTTAGGGGTTTAGAAGATGGCAAAAAAGTTTGTAAGGTACGAGGCTGCGGGGAAATCATGAGAAGGCTATGTCAGCTTGATGTAGTTGGTAGCAACACACATGAAATTATTGTAACTTGCAGAAACTAGCAAGAGTAAACTTTCCCAAGATGCTAAAATGACGGAGGACAATACTGGGGTGGCTTTCTTGGGGTGGTGGTAATTCCGAGTGATGACAATGATGGAAGTAGGTGGTAGGTGACCAAAGAAAATATGTTGAGATTTCATACCTATTTTACACTGATTTTGATGATATTGCGATGATATTGCATTTTTACACTGATTTTGATGATATTGCATTTTAAAGAAGAGTATTTTTGATGTTTTATTGCAGGTATGATGAATTATGATCATTGGAGCAAAAAGACGCAAAAATGGTGTAATTTGGAGCAAAAACGAGTAGACGAGCAAGAAATGATATTTTGCCCTGTCACCTTTCGATAAGTCTTTGGATGCTTAATCTCTTTTAGACTTCTTGCATATTTTTGAATGAGATTACACTTTAAATGAAGGTTTTTTTCATATTTATTTTGTAGGGCTATCTGTTAGGAACACAACACAACTGAAATGGGGCAAAACAGAGCTAAAACAGAGCCAAACGGAGTGAAACAGTGGAGCTGCGCAATCTGCTCTCCGACGGTGCCAAAACGACGCCGACGACGAGATTCACCCGAGAAGACCGAAAAAAGACAGAAAAGCTCGTCGACAGCGCCCTCGAGCCCGCCGATGGCGCCCGAGACGACTATGAACCGACTTTTGGCGGTTATGGGCCGAAATTCAACGTATTTGGACGTTTTTTGAAGGGACTCTTGTGACAACTCTTCAAACTTCATCCCTACACTTTAAAAGAACGAATTAGGTTAGAAAACGGGGTTATGTTTGAGAGGAATGTTAGGAAAAGTGTGGAGAAAATTTAACGTTTTTAGAATAGGAGTAGAAATGTAGATTTCAACCCTTTTGAAGAGATTGAAGAGGAGATTTTGAGAGAATTTGTAAGGAGATGTTCTAGCATTGCATGAATCGGCGGGAGACTTTGTGGGAGAGATTTTCTTCTTTCTTT